TAAGTGCTCAGATGGTGGGAGGATTATTTCCCTGTTGGGGCTATTATGTAGCAATTCTTATCCACGCTAGTCTTATGGGGAGGGTTGTCACAGAACCTGTACTGATAAGCTTTGCTTGAAGCAAACATAATCCAAATAGCAATGTGACAGTGTGTGCCCTGATGGAGATGCTTTACAGATGGATAAAACAGGCTAATAATACTTAATGGCATTCTTTTTGAGGACGGTAACTGTGAGAAGTAAGCTCTTTGAAGATTAAAAGCGTCACATAAATGCTAAGTATTCATGTTACAGAAAATTGGCAAATCCTATTGTAATAACTAAATCTTCCGCTCTCCACGCACAAGATGTTAAACCTTTGATATGCATTATGGTTAGGTCTAATAGAACCAAGGAAAGCTTTATCCCCAGGATGAGCCACTACTACCAAAACCCAAAGAATAGGTAGGAGGAAAAAATACAAATGGATTGAATAATTTGGTATTTTTTTTAAAAAATACCAAAACTGTGTTGCTGTTATCCTTCAATTCCTGTTGTTGGTAAATGTCACGTTCAGACTGTTAAGTCTGAGGTGCTCTGTGCAATTGGAATGGTATAATTTTTTATATTCTGCTTAGGAAAGATTCAGTAAGAGTGGATTAACTTTTTCATTAGGGGAGGCAGGATTTTTTTTTTTGTCTGTGTGTTCCCTGAAAATATTCTCAAGTGGATTCCTTTTTGGCAGGGACAGGTGGGTGTGGAGCTTGTCTTTTTAGTCATAGCTAGTTCATTTATCTCAATTGTATTTTGCAGTTTGTTCTTCCTATTTGGGGTTGTTCCCAAACATGCTTTATGTTCACTTGCACATTTCACCTCTTTGAAGCTTTTTAGTAATTGCTTTGGTTCTTGACAACTTCATAACCGCAGCCATTAAGTCACAATAAAGACTAATGAAAAAAGTAATAAAATTTCCGTGTATAACTAGGATGAAGATTCCTGGGGGAAATATTGAGCAAGTGATTACAGGGAAGATAATTGTCTGGTTAGAGAATTATATGCCCTGTGAGTTTGATATTGAAAATGTAGAATTGTCACTTAAAAATCAAAATATTAGAATTATTAAAACCTGAGCTGGAAGTCAGGAAGAGCTTGAGGTAGGTGAATTTTGCTTGTTTCCTGAAGGATGATCAAGTTGTCTGTTATATTAAAATTCAGGTTTGGTTATTTTTAGTAAAGAATAAATGCAATGTTATGCTGATGGCTGCAAATTATTGCTTGCTCCGTATACTTGAGATCTGCAGGGCTGGGTGGTTTGGGTTTTTTTGTTTTTGTTTTTTTTAAGGCAACAGACATAGAAGCTGTTTTTCATCCAGTAGTGACATTGGAAATTCAGATTTTGTGTGTGTGCGTGCTTGTAGAGTATCGTGGGCATTTTGATGCTCACAATTCTGGGAAAAAGTACCAGCCCTACTAGATACGTTGTAAGATACTTTAGTCAGATGAGCTCAAAGTTTCTTGACCGTTCACCTTAACTGAACTCTTTATCCTCTCCGTTTTTTTTCTTCCTGCTTATGCAGTAATTTGTTTCCTGTTTTGATTTTCAGCATTGTTGATACCTTGTAGTCTTCTGCCTTGATTTGGCTTTTTTTTTGCTGGTTGCCTGTAAACTGGAGTAAATAATTTCATGTAGCCAAATGAAATACTTTAGGCTTTTGAAACATAAAGATTTTATCAGTTTTTTGGTGCTGTTACTGCTACTCATACTAGTGGAAGCGATGATTTGCATGTTACTTTTGTGATTCTTGTGTAAACAGAGGTTACCAAATCACTGATTTGTTTTCAGCAGTGACTACTTTCTCTAGTAAGATGAAAGGATAGAAAACAGATATGCATGTTGTTTCTGTGTCATTTGTTAGAGATTATGTTAATTGGCTGTCAGTTTATAGTAGCCATAGCAGATTAACTCCACCTACCCTCAGTTACACTGTTGGGATTCTGTCCTTTTCACTGATTAAAGCAGCTCTTTAGTAGTAGCTTATAGTACTTTTACAGAGTATCTTAGATCATATATCAAACATCTGTCTGATGTAGAGTAGAATTTATATTCATTTTAGTGTTGAGGCACTTAAGACGTGGAGAGGTTAAGTGTCTCTTGCCTGAATGTCTTAGGCAGTATTAAAGAGTTCAAATGCTATGCTTTTTATTCTTATCCTTTACTACAACAGACAACTGTATGCTTTTGAAAGCTGCATTTTGTATCTCATTCTGTATCACCACAGCATTTTACATAATTGTGCTTGGATTTTGAAGGGTAGGGGAAGAAGCATTGTAAAGGAAGGTGTTTTTTGTGGCTGGTCTGACTTGGCTAATAAATATTAAATGGGAATTTGAAATGCATTTATTGTGCTCACTCTCGTTGCACATGTCGTAGGCAAGGTATATAGTAATTATGTTATATAAGCTGTAGGAAATCCATTAAGCCTGACTAACCACTTCTTCTAACCTTTAGACAAGCTCCCTTCAAAATGAATATTTGTTTCCTGGAATGCTTAACATTCACGTGTGAACTGTTCCATCTTAAGCAGCAGTGATTGCTTGTAAATTTTGGTGTTGCTTCTCTTCAGTGCATCTGTAAATCTTTAAACTTCTTTGCAAGAGCGTTGGAGAGCAGCCATATGCTGAAAGATGGGAAGAAAAGTTACTCTGTTGGTTCTTGCTCTAGGCGCAAGTTAGTTACTGGTGCCACGCAGAGACTGGTGCATGGCAGTTCTTACATTCTTGACCTCAATAGTGTTCTAGTGTTGCGCATATATATTTATATATCAACAAATTGGGGAAAAAAAAATTAAGGCAGATTTTTAACTACTTTCTTACAGTATTTGAATGAAACATACTATTGAGGTAATTTGTACAAACCTTAGCTTAGATTCATTAGTCTCTAAGGAAGTATGATAGAGTATGCACTGTAGGTACTTCTATTAATGAGGAATTGGCTTTGATGTAACCATTTTCTTCTATCTCTTTTTCCAAAACAGGAAGTGAACAAGCAAAAGTATCAATATTAGGTGTATTTAGTTACATAGTCATATTTTTATGATGACTCTTAATAAATTTCACTAGCAGTCTTGTAACAGCAGAGTAACTTTTGCTGAATCAGGTATTTGCTTCCCAGCTTGCTGAGTTTTGCACAGGTGTTTGTTGTATAAAGTTGTTCTGTGCTTTTCAGTACGACCTTTGTTGTGAAGTGACAGAGGCTGTGCTGTACGTTGAACCGTACATTACTCACAATGCATTTTAAACCTTTCCAAGATAAAGACAAGAAGGTGGGGGTGGGATTAGTGCTACAGGATGTGGAAACAAAAAAATTTCTAAAATGAATAGGGAATGTATCTGCAAAACTTGCCAAGGCTCCACTGTAAGAGTTTTTCCTCCACCTTAGGTTAGTTAAACAGAACTTAAGGTACATCTAAAGATGTACTTTAACATTACAGAATGGGTAAGCAAAAAGAATAGTATCTGCTGCCTGAAGAGAAATTGTGATACATAAATTATTGTTTTATGTATACTATTTGGGCTACAATTTTTATACAAAATAGACTTCAAATTTGAGAGTAGTTGATTGAGCACGTGTAAATGTTACGGAATTTGAGTACTAGACAGTAAATACTTCTGAAAATTAACCTTGTTTTTACACACCCCTGTGAGTTTTAAGTAGGATGAGGAGGAGGGGAGTAACTTCAGCTGTGTTTTCTGCCTTCCTTTTTCAAATGGAACGTTATATCTAATGTCCAGAATGTGGGTATCTAACATTAGGCTTCTACATAAATGTAGCATATTTTTTTTTCTGGGACAAATTCCCTGCAGCTCCCGTTCATATCAATGACACAGCTGGTGGGGTTCCCCTCTGAAATTCAGGTCATTTTTACGTGGGTGGCAAAATAAAGTTTAAGTCTGGAGTTGGGCATGTAGGCTTGCATAGTTTGACCTTCAGATACAGTTTTACTCTAAAAGGAAAACTCCAGGATGACTTGATGATAAATATGTGGAGGGAAAGCAGTGGAAAGAGGGTGCTTTCCAGCATGGGACTGTTTTGGAAGGCGCTACATAAATCATTACCTGGACAGATATGAGTTTGAAAAAAATAGTGGAGTTGTAAATCCATATAAACAGCATAAAGTTTAAGTAACACTGTTAAACTAAAACTAAATATATCCTCGGCAGTTGAATGAGCTGAAGGTTTGTTACAATTACTGTAAGTTGCGGTGACATTTTTAGCTGAGGTTGCATGGTTTCATTTAAACTTTATTAAACAAACTGGAGCTCGAATATTCCCTGGAGAGTTGGAAGCAGCACTAATCTTCTGTTAAACTGTCTTTAACTTTATTGGAAACCATCCAGCCATGGTAGCTTTGAGGAGGTTTGTATTAGTAAAAGTTGCCTAGACAGAATGACATCGTTTGTGACTTTCCTTTTGTGGAAAAGACCATTTGTTTCAATGGTGGTTTTTGGAAGTGGGCAGATATAATTTTAAGAATTAGAACACAGTATAATTTCAGTAATACTGAAAATTGTTTTTATTGTTTTGAATTAGAACCTCACAAGAAAAAGTTAGCTTCTGTAGTCTTGAGGTGTAAAGAATTAGGCGTGCAGTTCCGATTGCATTGCTTTCTCTGCCATAATATTGAGGTTGCGCCACCTGTTATTGGTAGGAGCAATGTGGAGATGGTTTTTGCTGCATTGGCGACCATAAACCTATTTTGGGAAGTCTTACGTGTTCTGTTTTTCACTGTCAGGTTATGAATGCAGCAACAGTGTATCCGATAGCATAGTGTCTGTCTTGTATGTCTAATGAAAGCAGCTTGTGAATGGTCTTTTCTTAGGTGTTTGTAGACAACTGTCTTCTGAAAGTGTTTGGTAAGACTGTGCCTTTGGAAAAAGTGAATATACTTAATGAAGGAACTTACGTCAGTGTAGGAAACTGGGTTGTTAACTACATTTACGTCTAACGGTGGGATTAAAAATACCTCCATGGTCTGTGATGCTTGCTGCATAGGACTCATGGAATTGAGAGAAAAAAGGTAGCTTATGGGTATGTAAGTGTTCTAATTTTTTATGTTATTATAGTAATAGACGTATTGCTTCTGGAAGTGTTACTTCCATAATTTAAGACGTAGTTTTATTTCCTCTCAACATGCCATCACGTTATATCTCTATGTTGAATAATTGGTACTTTGGTGTTGGAATTTTGTATTCAAATATTTTATTTGTCTTCCAGACTCATAGTAAACATTGATAATATCTTTGATTTATACTCTGCTCATTTCAGTAGTACTTTCACGTGCCTGGATCTAAATGTATAATGAACTTTTTTTTACAAAGCTTTGCAGATGATTTTAAATGGCCAGCATCTGTCATTTTAATGTGCCCTGGGGAAGGAATGGAAGTAATTACCTTTCCTGTAATTCCTTGACCTCTTTTGTAGTTTCTGCCTGCAAACAATAATATTACATGGTCTCTAGCACTAATAACTTGCTTTTGAAATGTAACATGGACTGGCAGTATCAACTTATCATCTACTATTAAATGATATACTGACAGTTCTTTATGAAGGTGTTAGTAGTATTGGTTGACTAGTTTTCTTCCCAATCTTCTCCTCACGAACTCATCCTTCAGTAGGACCCCGGTCACTTCTGTATTTCATGGTAGATACGTATGTGTAGGATTTTCTTATTCCTGAACACTGCCTGAAGTACATTTTTGGCAGTCATAGGTGCTCAAGGAAGTACCAATAACGGCTGCGTGCAGTGCTCTTGGGCGTACTGTGTATCTCCAAGGTACAGTTGGCCTAAGTTTCATCGCTGCGCTTGTTGTCTTAACTTGTGATACAGTGAGACCTATTTGCCTAGAGTAGAGGCCTTCTCTGTCCTGCGAAACTGCAAAACAGCAACTCTACCGAGGTTAAATTAATTCACTGCTCTTTGTTACATCAGAGCTTAGCACAAGAAATACCGTTCTATGCAGTTCTGTCGTCAAAGAGGTGGTGGCGTTTCAGTGACTCCTAGAAACATGTAACTTGTTTCGTGCGCTTAGGGATGTAAGGTGATACATAAAATATCTCTGGAGTACTAATTTGGTCTGCAGTTAAGGTTGTCAGATTACAAATTGCTTTAATTTCTGTTAATACAGGTAAATCTCATAAAGGAATGGCCAGTAAATTTTATGATTATGAAAGTATGTGACTGACTAAAATAACTTTATATTCTAGCCTATTACATATCGTCAGTTCACATTTACTGGTTTAATATTTTTCTTTATTAAAACAGTAATTGGAAGTTTTACATGGCTATGGGCTGTTGTATTTCTTTTAATTAATCCTAGCACGAAAATAGTGCACAAGTATAACTGGGCAAGATTGTACGTGTGTTCCTATTGAGAAGTGCTTTTGCAGTAAGTGGGCTCAGCAGTGACAGCAGCTGGAAAGTAACTGGAGTTGTGTGAAACTGCTCTGCCCAGAAATTGCAGGGATTGTCAGTGCAGCAGGAACGCAGCGCTGTGCCGGTGTGCAACCGAATTCATATGGAACCTCCTTCACTCCTCCCCACCGTGCTGCCATGCTGGGGAGAAACTTTAAGGAATTGGATCAAGGGATACAAAATCAGTAGTTATATATGAATGCTGGGGCAAAAAAATATTTCCCTCATAGTTTTTCAATGAAAATTATTTGAATTTTCTATGCAGCCAGGAAACTAAACCTGAGAACATCGATAATGACACAATGCCATATTAAGTGGCTGTAAATGTTGTATATGTTTCAACCTTATTTTTGAAGTAAGCAATAATTAGGTCACTTGAAAGTCCATTATAATATGTGTAAAGCTGTAAGCATCTGGTTAGTTAATGCTTTGTTTGTGTATAAACTTTTTTGCCAGATGACCACAAACCAGATTGGATTAACTATGAGGAGTTCAAAAAAATTAATTGAGGGGGAGAAAAAAACAGAATGCAGAGTCTATTTTTATTAAAAGTGTGTGTGTGCTTATGCATGTAAAAATACAATAGATTAAAATATTTTCATCAAAGAACGGTTGCTAGATTTTGTCTAGCATCTAGGTTGTTTGCTTTACCTTGCCAAAATAATGAAGCCAGTAGCTTCTGCATTTTATGTTCCCTTAGCAATCCCAAGCTTTTACTCATTAAACATCTGGTGAGGAGTTGTCCCTGCTAACTGAAAATTTGCTGCAGTTACGTTGTGCATAAGAGGTGTGGAGGAGGCAAGGTGAAGCATCCCTCTGATGTGAAGCACTTCTGTTAATTTCTTGCACGTGTTTGGAGGAAAGACTGTGGTGTGAGGGTCAGTTTCTTTGCAGAATCTTTATTTTGCTTCCTGTTTCCATAATTTGGAAGAGCTGGAGAATGTTGCTTCAGGTTGTAAATATCGTATCTGAGAGTCTGTTTCCAGTTAGCTGGGGAAAATCTTGGAAGAAAACTTTAGCTAGTGTGCCTAACAGTGTTTGAGCATTCATTAAAGCATCACATCTAAAGACACAAAGAACGAAAATGACTCTATGGATAGATGTTAATATGAAAAAGTGAAATTTAAACCCCATATAAGGCAGATAACAGTATTATACCAACTTTGTTCTGCCATATAATTAAAGTATGCTTGTTTTATTAAAACAAGATATGTGATGATGATAACTTGAGTATGTCTTTTGCCAAATCCATGGTAATTGATAGCACCAGTGTTGTGTGGGTCACACTTCAGGTTTATTCCTTAGATCCTTTGAATTTTTTTCTGGTCAAAAGTACCCAGAATCTATAATAAAATTTGAAAAGAAACATGACCGAATTTCTGTTTTTACACACAATTGTTAACTGAAGTCACTAGTCTGTTTCAATGTCGACTAGGATTAAAATTAGGAAGGAATGTTTCAATGTGATTTACTTTTAAGGAGTGATTTTTCTTTTGATGAATGAATTAATTGAAATGTACAAGTTTCAAAGAGAGTGCTGGATTAAGCTCTCAAGTGGTCTGTTTTATTTTGGCTGACAAAAAGCTTGACAAGCTTTTGGCCGTAGCAGTGTTGTTTCTGTCTGGCTTGTTATATCAGGGGAAGGAAAATGCCTTACTATAAATACAGTGAAATAGCTATCATGTACAGCATCATTGCTTTTGGCTTCGAGATGGTAAATAGCTCTTCCAGCACTACATGGTAACTTACCTGTGATTTAGGTCATGGTGTATTATTCTCTGCAACTTGATTTTTGACAAAGGACCTGTTTTGTTCAGCAAGATACTTCACTTCTCAAACACTTTGTTAGAAAGTTGCTTTATGCTTGTAAAATCTGAAAGCAGGGACTGCTTTTCAGGAAGCTCATGTGCAAGTATAAATGGGATGTCATCAAACTTCTCACGTTTACAGCATGTGAACAAGTTTGAACAGGTTTTAGCTGGCAATCAGATTTTGACTGTGCAAGAAAATCTTAGGTGAAGAATTACATTTAGTCCTAAGTTTAACTGTAGTATTCCTGTTAAATTCATGCTTCACTGTACTGTCTTATGAGCATGTAAGTGGTGATTAAATATTTTTTTTAATACAGAAAAGTAGACTGGTTGCCTGATGAAACTGCTTGAAGCATGCTGCTGGAGCTGCTCTTAATAATATTCACCACTGTTGGTTACAGATCATTTCTCTGGCTTACATGCAATGTAAAATTGATCATAAATCTAGCTTATTTTCCTTTTGTGTGACAATAATGGTGCTTAATTTAGAACAAATTATAATATGCTGTTGTAGTCAGAGAAAACTTAGGCAGTCAACTGTTGTAATAATTGATGTTAACTTTAGGTCTACTTGACTTTTTTTGGGAAGATTAGATTATTAGATCTTATTTTCTAGTAGTCAGATTTTCCCACTATTTAGGTGAAATCATGCATTTAATTTCTTCTTATCTTTTTATTGTAAAGATAAATGTAAGGTGTATAGGATTTTGAGAGTCCTTAAGCTATTACGTTTCTACGACACCTTTATTGACCAAATCTTTTTCTTCTCCTCTCTTCTCACTCAACACAGTTACAGACATAGAGCTAAAGCGACTGAAAGATGCTTTCAAGAGAACTTGTGGACTCTCATATTATATGACTCAACAGTGCTTCATCAGGGAAGTTCTTGGTGATGGAGTCCCTCCAAAAGTTGCTGAGGTAATCTATGAACTTGCTGTTTTTCTGGGGAGGCATATGCAGTTGATAGTGTACGCCTATAGATGTGCACACACAAATATGCCTATGTAGATACATGGGCTAATTTAATTTCTTTCCATTTTTCATACAATATCACAATGTACGTTTTCTATCTGAAGATAATGTTCCAGACTTGGCTCGTGGGTTGTCACTGATCTGTGCTTGACTGGGCTACTGATTCCAACCCAACTAATAGGTGGTAGATGACTTGGAAGTAAACCTGAATATCCAAATGTAGATTTTGGGAAGTAAAAGGTTGGGAAGTTTTGACACTATATGTAGCCATTATAACAGAGAATTTTATTTACTCTGGAGATGCACTTACTGTTGGTTTCTCTGAGATTCCATTGGCTTTTACTTTGTTTTCTAAAGTGCAGATTAATCTTTATAAGCTCTTAAAATAATTTTATATATAATAAATGTATAAATGAACTGAAAAATAGCCAGAATCAAAATATGCTACATGGATATAAATATTGTGTGTGTATATATCTAAAAAAATAGTAATACCATCCTGCACATGTGCATGTTTAAAAAATTATTTTCTCTCATAGTGTTGCCCCTGTCTTGAGGGAGAAATTAAAATGTTGTTGGTAGAGAAGAAAAAGATAAGCCAGACCTTTCAAATGATATCTTGCTCCTTGTCATTTCTAATCACAGCTTCTATTTCTGGTGTCTTCAGTGTTATTGACCTCACAGGCAGCGTACAAGTCTTGCAGTTTTATTTAGCTAATGTGAGTAGTGAAGTGTGCATTGCAAAAGGTTTAACACTGGTAGAGTTACTTTTTTTTTCTAAGCTTAATCTTTTCTCTGGTTTTTTTTCTGTTTTTCCTAAGTGTTGACAAAGAGGATGATATTACTTGCTTCTGTAATATAGTTAACAGTTTGATTTTTATGTGGGTATTCAATTTGTTTTCTAGTGCAGATTAATCTTTATAAGCTCTTAAAATAATTTTATATAATAAATGTATAAATGAACTGAAAAATAGCCAGAATCAAAATATGCTACATGGATATAAATATTGTTATATCTAAAAAAATAGTAATACCATCCTGCACATGTGCAATGTGCAAAAATTATTTTCTCTCATAGTGTTGCCCCTGTCTTGAGGGAGAAATTAAAATGTTGTTGGTAGAGAAGAAAAAGATAAGCCAGACCTTTCAAATGATATCTTGCTCCTTGTCATTTCTAATCACAGCTTCTATTTCTGGTGTCTTCAGTGTTATTGACCTCACAGGCAGCGTACAAGTCTTGCAGTTTTATTTAGCTAATGTGAGTAGTGAAGTGTGCATTGCAAAAGGTTTAACACTGGTAGAGTTACTTTTTTTTTCTAAGCTTAATCTTTTCTCTGGTTTTTTTTCTGTTTTTCCTAAGTGTTGACAAAGAGGATGATATTACTTGCTTCTGTAATATAGTTAACAGTTTGATTTTTATGATAATGTTCCAGACTTGGCTCGTGGGTTGTCACTGATCTGTGCTTGACTGGGCTACTGATTCCAACCCAACTAATAGGTGGTAGATGACTTGGAAGTAAACCTGAATATCCAAATGTAGATTTTGGGAAGTAAAAGGTTGGGAAGTTTTGACACTATATGTAGCCATTATAACAGAGAATTTTATTTACTCTGGAGATGCACTTACTGTTGGTTTCTCTGAGATTCCATTGGCTTTTACTTTGTTTTCTAAAGTGCAGATTAATCTTTATAAGCTCTTAAAATAATTTTATATATAATAAATGTATAAATGAACTGAAAAATAGCCAGAATCAAAATATGCTACATGGATATAAATATTGTGTGTGTATATATCTAAAAAAATAGTAATACCATCCTGCACATGTGCATGTTTAAAAAATTATTTTCTCTCATAGTGTTGCCCCTGTCTTGAGGGAGAAATTAAAATGTTGTTGGTAGAGAAGAAAAAGATAAGCCAGACCTTTCAAATGATATCTTGCTCCTTGTCATTTCTAATCACAGCTTCTATTTCTGGTGTCTTCAGTGTTATTGACCTCACAGGCAGCGTACAAGTCTTGCAGTTTTATTTAGCTAATGTGAGTAGTGAAGTGTGCATTGCAAAAGGTTTAACACTGGTAGAGTTACTTTTTTTTTCTAAGCTTAATCTTTTCTCTGGTTTTTTTTCTGTTTTTCCTAAGTGTTGACAAAGAGGATGATATTACTTGCTTCTGTAATATAGTTAACAGTTTGATTTTTATGTGGGTATTCAAGTGCTTAACAGGAAAAATTGCAATGTGTGTTAGCACTATCAAATTAAAAGAAAGTATATGATTTGCCCATAGCTTAAAGCATGTCTTCAGTATTAATTTCTTTATATGTCGTCTGGATGCTGTGACTGTTAGTAGCCCATAAGATGAAACAAAGAATGTATCCTACACTGAAAAAGATTGGTTTGAAATAATATAAAATGTTGAGAATTTTATGTTATGAGTTAACTTGTACTTTTTTATCCCTTTTATGCCAGTATTAAGGGTTAAATTACTGATTTGGATGAAGAAAACTCTTGGTCACAAATAGAGACTCTGGGTTTCAAATGTCTGCTGGCTACCTTCTACTTTATTTTTTAAAAATCTGTCCTTAAAGACACAGTTTTGGTGATGATTATCTCTTTCAACACTCATTATGGTTATACTTCAGTTTTTGGTTTCCAGTTGGTGAAATTAAATTAATGGAAGAATCGTAACTGGTTTTTGATGTCATTTCATCAAAACTGGCACATCGACATCTCAAAATTCTAGTACAAATTACTGTGTGCTTCTAGCATTCATGTTCAGGCAATGCAGTAGTCGTATCTGTGAGCTTGAATACTGTAAATTTGGACAAAATTTGGATTTGAGTCTGCTCATACTGTAAAGGGATGCTTTGTAATTCCTGGCTTCCGGATGTGGAAAGGCAGGCAAAGTCATTAGGCAGCTTAAAGCCTTGTTCTGTGTTTTCAGCCTTTCGATCATTAAAATTGATCATTTGGAGCCTTGGATTGCTGGGCTGTCTTCTCTGCATGTTTTGAATAATAGTTTTTCATATCTGAGTAGTGATAGGCCTTCAGAAACTCATTAAATTAAAACCACAGAGTTTTACAGCAGGGACATAAAACAGAGAACTGAAGCCAGTGGAACTTTGGTCAAACAATTTGCATGATTGTCGTACACACAAAACATTTTTTAAATGTTCAGGACAGTAATGTTCTGAAAGGATCTCTTGGAAAAATGGAGTTGAATATAATAATAAAATGAAATTAAGAGATGTGCTGTGTCTGCATTGTTTTAACTGCATGAAAGCTGGTCAAGTGGGGAGATGTATGAACACAGCATTTATTTTTAAATCTAAGGAAATAATGCAATTACTGTATACAATTGTGAGCACCTTGATAGAAAAAGTATTGTTCAAAGGAGGTGGAAGGACGGAATGCTGATAATATTTCAAGAAAGCATTTTTAGTAGCTTTGTATTTTAGATTGAGGAGAGGAAGAATGTTGAGAAAGGACCTCCTAACTTCAACCCGTGCAGTCATTTCAATGTCTAATTAGATTATACCTTTTATATATACCTACATATATTATGATTGTGAGAAGGTTTATACACAGCATTCTGTGGTACCTACTAAGTAGTTAAGTGTCAGTGCATCTTTTTCTTCAAATGTGACTAACTGGTTAACAAGCTGCAGTCCAAGTAATGCAAAGAGAAGAGGGATGATGCTAACAGAGACATGAAGAACACGTTGAGGGGGCTGCCAAAAGAACAAAACCGCAGACTTCTCAAGGATTGAGAGAGAAGAGGGGTCAGAAGGATAAAATCAGGAAAGAATCCAGCACATTTTATACTTTCGAGAAAGGAGCCAAAAGAATGCCTTGAGCATCCTCTCTCACTCTTCCAGCAGGCTTACTAGACCGTGTGGGCACAGGGCCAGGGATTTGGACCTGAAGGGAACTCTTTGCATAGATTGAGACTTTTTTTAACAGAAAAGGAACTATATTGTTATACTCTTCGGTTATCCCTGAAACATAACATGTCAGACTCAAATTTTATATAAAAAAAAATATAACTATGTACCATATAATTATACTAAATTTTATGTTCTGAAATGTAAATTGTGATGATACTGTCTGGGTGTGGCTATTTTAAGTAAAGCTGCAACAGTATTAAGTAATTTTGGAAAATACAAAATTGCATCATATTTTGACAGTGCATCTTATTAGCAGAAGTTTTCCAAATAACACGTGAAAAATTGTGGAGCTCCTTCCTTAGAAATGCAAACTAATCTCTTGTTATATATCGTTATATAACTATTCAGCGTTTATAAACTCTTGCCGAAGAATGATTAAGCAGCTAAACTCAAAGTAATGCCAGCTGCCGATGGTTGTAATTACGTATGTTAAATACTAATACATTGGACATTATCCATAGAATTCCTTTTCTGTGTTTATATCATAAGCAGTCAATGTGTTACGTTGAAATGATATATAGATGTAATATTTGGCATTCAACTGAGATCGTAACTGAGATGTACAAAGTTTAACAGAAGTGAGTGGAAAAACTCAGAAGTGGGTATGAATTTAGAAATATGCTTTCAGATGGATGAAGAGAGGAGACAGCTTTATTCGAGGTAATTTATAAAATAGCTGTTCTTAGAAAGTCTAAAAGCACAGAAAGGTTAAATTTGAGTGATGGAGAAGAACAAAGTGTAAAGAAAAGAACGTATTTTATTAAAATTTGTGAAAAAACCCCAGTGATTTCTCTTTTGTTTATTCATTTTTTTTCTTAGAAGTTCTGTTAATCTGAAATGTAAGAATTCTCTCTCTTTTTGTGCTCTTCGTGGGTTTTTTTGATCAAAAATAGTTATATTAAGACTTAAACTATAGTGTTCAGCAGAGCTAACTGCATATTTTAAAAAAAGTAATGATTCCAATGTAATAGAAAGGTAAATTGCTTACATATGCAGTGTAGCCTTGAAGGCATCTTGTGACATCAGAATGATTAGAAGTAGAAAGTATGGAATTCAAATCTCTGCCATGACATTGGCCATGGACACAATGATTGTATATGCTTCAAATAGAGCACAAATTTAGTTTTAATAATTCAGCCCTTCAAGCATTTGTAAATGGATTAGACTTTAGTAATAGAAGAGGACGATCTGAGCACCCTATGGGAAGTTAATGTATTTAGGTAGTGCTATGTCTTACAGTAGAATGAAACTGCAGGTTCTACATAATGTTTTCTGTAGAATTAGATCCTTCTGTGTTATCAGCCTCATTTACATTTACTTGCCTTCAGACATCTTGTAATAGTCCCAAGTGGATAGCAATGAAAGTGATAGCTTGATGGGTGGACAAGGAGAGGATTTACCGCAGGTAACACACAGAACTATACTGAGGTAAGCGTCTTCAGGGAATCCGTCTGCTTCAGCGTTATGTCTGGTAATAACTGTGATAGTAAAGAGGCGAAGAAAAATTTAGAATTTGTTACTACCTTGTTGCCCAGTACTACTTTGGAGGTGGTCTAGAACACATTCTGCAAATGAATTCTGCTAGTCTGGTTCCTACTGCTGGAAAGGCAACAGTGGTAGATTTTCCACACCTTGTTATACACAAAGCATAGAGGGCAGTTACTGTTGTAAATCTAGCGTAGCTAGTCTGTTAGGTATTTCCTTTTCTTTTTGCCACTAGAGCGCTATGTGGCTTAGCCAGATCTATCCAGTGGCCTTGACAGGCCCATGGCTGGCTTTGTTTGGTAACTCCCAGTCCTGGCTTAATTTTTACTTGAGATGGAAACCACACCTGAGGTAGTAGGAGCAGTGACTCATTCACGTGGCTCTGGTATTCAGCTCTCTTCTTCCACCCTTTACTTGTGCTTGAGGATTCTGGCTGCAGCACCGTGATGGCTGTTAGTAGAGGGGAAAGGGGATGGAAAGAGGGATTTTGGTTCCAGTAACTTCCTTCTTGTTCCACTCAACCTTGTGAACCTCTTGTAGAATCCCAACTCATTTAGGCTGAGGTACTTGGGGAAACACAGATCTGTCTGAGCTTTGTCATTAGATGTTTCTGAAGCTCATTTTTGAGCCCCGCACCGTTATCCTTGAGAGACTCAAAGCAGACATATGCCAGCCTCTGCAAATGTGGAAGTTAGTAGGCATATAAAATATTCTTTGGGAATTTTCAGCTGACTTCTTCTGCCTTTTTTTAAATAGGAAAAAGTACAGGTTCAAAGCCTCACAGTGATCTTATTGCACCTGTTTACAGAGGTTTCCTCTAACTGCTGTCAGTTTGTTTCCATCTTTACTCAGAACTGTCTCTGAAAAGTGTCAGGGTACTGTCACTTTGTGATTTACAGGTAGTTTATTATGAAACATTATTGTAAGTGATTAAACTACTAAGGAAGCTAAATTTTCTTTTATTAATAGCAAATAGTGGCCAGCAGATGACCTCAAAAGCTGTTCTTTTTAACAACGCAGGAAGATTTTATTTTCTCTCATGTCTGTTTCCGGTGTTCAGCTATTTGTTTTAAGGTAAATAAACCTTTTGGCAACAAATTTTGTTACATTTTGCTTTATCAGTGGAAAAGGTGCAAATTCTTTTCAAGTACTTTACTGATTTCTTAGCTTACAGTTAGAGTAACAAATATTGACAGCTGTCAGTTCTTTGGTAAACAACTTCCTGGCATATAGACCTGCATCAGTGATTTAGTAACTTTTTTCAGTCTTATTTTGGGAGACATGGCACTCACATTTTGCAAAGGGATCTCAGCCTGTTGAGAATTGGTTTCCTCCTTATTACACGTCATTGTAACGTTGTGCTGTCTGACTCCTTTGAAGGGCACAACTGATAATAGACTGCACTTGATGCCACAGAATGTCCTACATGGTTACGGTAGTGTATAGAACTTCTCTTGCAATATTTGAAATGTCATTTATGCAGGTATTTTGTACCAGTTTCACAGTCAGCTTAATCCTGGCTACTTATTCTCACCCTGAGGTCACCCACTTTGAGCTGGATTAGTGAAACCTGGTAACAAAAATGGTTAATTCAAATCCGAGTTGGTTCCCTGATTTCATTCATAGTCCCACTACGTGAATGCTTGTTTTGGCTTAGATGTAGGAAGTGGAGTGTGGGTGGGAATAAGTTGTTGGTGGCAGGGGAATGGCTAGCACTGGTTTAAACCAGCAATGAAACTACAGTGTTAAGAGAGGCAGAAGATGGAAAGTACTTTAAAAAAAAAATTAACTGTAGGCTGTATGTGTCTGCAACGAGACAGGCAAAATTCTAATCATACTTAAATCTAGTTTTGTTTTATTTTTTTAAATCGCAATGAAACTACAGTGTTAAGAGAGGCAGAAGATGGAAAGTACTTTAAAAAAAAAATTAACTGTAGGCTGTATGTGTCTGCAACGAGACAGGCAAAATTCTAATCATAGTTAAATGTAGTTTTGTTTTATTTTTTTAAATCTGGTTTAGAATTATTCCCATGTTTTTTCAAAGATAAAGTTGTTATACTAGAGTGTTCACTGGATGCATCTAGTAGGTTTATGATCCTAATTCTGCTATTTGTGGGGGGTCATCATACAGTGGTAGATTTTGTGCTGTAACAATTATACTTCAGAACTGAAGTCCTAATTAATGAGAGAATTTGTACACCCCTGTAGTGACTTTGTTTTATGATGGTTTAAAAGTAGATTGTTTTGATGTGTTTAAAACTTTAACTTGTTGGGTAGATTCACAGGATGTCAGACACTTAAGATAATGTTAGTGATATGCTTTTTTCCAGAACTGCTGGTAGTCTAGAAGACAAGTGTTACTCCAATTGCACGTACCATCTCTCACTGTTGTTTTCTAATCATCTGTGAGTGTAAATGTTTCCTGATGGTTATGGTGAAAGCTTTAAAAAAATTTAGAAGTCTTTTAATTCTGTAGATTGGTGGATTTTTGTCTGTGGGCCCCAAGGTGTCATGGCTTCTTTGGTAGGCTTGCAAAAAAGCCTAAAATTCATTATGCAAGCATTTGTAGTTTCAAAGGGGGAAAAAAAACCAAACCAAATAGAGCTTAGGAGGTCAAAAAAAATTAAATATGTTGCTTTAGCTGTTTAGAATTGTGTCTGGTTGTAGTTCATATGTTCAAAAACAAACAAAAGGCAGGGGGAAGGGATGCAGGTGTTGCAGTTAAGATCTGTGGGTTTCGTCCCATGGTTTACTAATGATTCCCTCTGCTTTGTGGGTAATACACAAAATAGTGAATCTGTCCACAATAATTCTAAAGCTCCGCTGACCTCTGAAGTCTGCTATTGCTATTTGGCTAAAGTCTCATATAAAGAATATACTCAAGGCTTTACTGGAGAAAAATGAAAAAGCAGTACATAACTGCGTGTACACATCCTGGTTTTAACATTGTTTATTTAGAATGTAATTCAGATGCAAGCAAAGAAAATACTATTCAAAATGTGCACAACACTTTTCTTAATAGAAATTGATCTCTGTTCCTTTATCTTTCCCTCTGAAAAAGTTATATTTCAAAAACAAGTTCAGCAAATAAGTCTGCTATCCAAACCATGATCAGTGATAGATCACTTTGTTCTGGTCTTTCACAGTAATAGTTCCCCATCAGCTAGACTTAATACTTTCTCTTCACGGTTAGATGCTCAGTGTGATGCCTATAAGAAAATAAAATTAAAAGACATAGGCACTGAAATAATTCTTCTATGTAAGAGTAATTTATAAGTTCTGACTGCTTTAAATTCTAATACCTAATGCAGATTTCTGTCTTGTGATGCTGATAAAGTACTGGTGCTTGTAGGAATAGATTTGGGATTACAGGAGGAGTCCATGTTTGAAGAGCAGTACAGCATACTACAGAGCACAAATTAAAGTATGTATTACAGGCAAGGTGAAGTAATATATTGCAGTAAGTGAGTTGGTAATTCTTGTTTACTAAAAGCGGTTGCTGTTTGTCCTAAAATGACTTACTTCCTTCATATCTCATGTATCAGTGCTGAATCACTGTTAAGATGCTGTTGCTGATGAGTAAGTTAAGCTGCAGTGTACGGACTTTTCATGGGAAAGGTAAATGCTTCAGCCCTTCTGTTGACTGCGTTGTGCCTGGTGGCTGCTCTGTGGATCTTCGAGTAACTTCTGAATAGAAGTCTTGATTTCTACTGTTTTCTATTGGAAGAGAGATTTAAACACTGTTGTTAGAGCGGGGTACTAAACTGGAATGGCCATTCTAGCAACAGTTGCAGTGCTAAGATAGGTAAGGTGTAGTTGATGGAAGGTGTTTTTTGTGTGTGTGTGTCACATCTTTTCGAAGCAGTAGTTTTTGATGGCTTACTGGAAGTGCATTGCCTGTAATTGGGGCAATGAAACACTTGATGCTCCAACATCCTCTTGATGGCTTTGAGACTATCAAAGCCTAGTCTGGAGGAGATTTCATCTTCATTACCTTGATGAAGTGTGGGGAAGTAGCACCAGTGAGCAAGCAAGAAGCTGTCTTCATTGGAAGATTCTAACAATTTTTTTTATATTGCTGTTCATGAAAAGTACCTGCATTTCACTAGATAAAAGACCCTGGAAAGGCTATTTTATGGGTACTGGAGGAGCTGCAAAAGTGTAACAGAATTAATATTAGAAGCGTGTTTAGCTGAATGTGAGGTGACTAGCCTAAAAACCACATAAGACAGAGCCTCGGTATAAGTTGTTGCTTTTAGTTCTGACATCTCTGTTCTCCCTGTTAACTTTTTGGTTAACTTCTCTGTTTTATTCTTGTAGGTTATCTACTGTTCATTTGGAGGAATATCCAAAGGGCTGCACTTCAATAACTTGATAGTCGGATTAGTTCTACTTACAAGAGGCAGAGAGGAAGAGAAAGCAAAATGTAAGTAATGTAACTTACTACAGTACCAACAGGATAGTGGATAGTGACTGTAAAATACACTTATGTAAAGCAAACATAAACTGTGTTATATTAAGTCCCTATTTTTATACGTAACCAGGGCATACATTTGCCAATAAAGATAGCATTTTTAGACATTTTTAGCTGTATATTTTGAAATTCAGTGCATTTTAGTTTTCTATACTCACCAAAATGAAATATTTGATAAGTCACCATGAATGTAAATGTTAGGATCCTACAGAAAGACTGTTGATCACTGTATGTGGGCAGAGGAAGGAGGGCGGCATTGATGTTTTTCAAAACAAATGAAAGCATCTGCCTACTGACTTCTGTTGTTTTGTCTTCCTTGTTAATCTGACTTGATAGTATTTATTTTCCTTTTGATTAATGGACAATGGTAAAAGAAAAAGGAGATACTTCTTGACCTAACCCTTGTTGAGCTATATTGAAATTGAATCAATCTAAGTTTTTAGTCCTTTAGTTGTTGCGTGGCTTTTGGCATTCTCAGCCAGATGTAAACTTAATATTTGAAAAATGTAACTACCGTAGTTGCTTAAACATATCTCTACTTCCTCAGACATCTTCAGTCTCTTTTCTAATGAATCTGGGAGTTATGTTGTCCGTGAAGAGATGGAGAAGATGCTGCATGTGGTTGATGGGAAAGTCCCAGAGTCACTCAAGAAATGTTTCTCTGAGGTATTTCATACAGGTTTTATTCCACTGCATTTACAAAAAAGTGAAAATTATATTGGGTAGTTTGTTTTTCTCTGACATACACATGCTCGTGCATGTATGGGAACAAATTGACCTTGTTTAAATTGGGTGAAAGCTCATAGTTTTTTATGTTGTAATATTACATGTAATTTGTATTGATGTAAATAGCAGCTTGGTATATAAATGTAGGCATTCTCCATGCTGCTTTACTTACTGTGCTAGCTTGAAGGATATAATTTCCCAAGGGTAATCATGTTATCAAGTAAATTTAAATACTAATATTGCTAGTGGAATTTTATTCATTAGTGTGGACATTTTATTGCAATCAGGGAAGAAATCTAGAACACAGATCTGAGAGGGGAAAGAAAATCAGCATCCTGGATTTAAAAATGCCTGCCAGCAGTGGTTGCTTAAAAATAATAATTTTATAGTATTACTTTTGTCTCACTGTGCCTGCCAGGAGCTACAACATTTATTTATGCTTTAGGTTGTTTGAGAGATGTAATCTTTTATGAAGCTTGCTGAAGTCTTCCTCTAAAACAGGCTATTGTTACTTATAAATATTCACAGATACTTCTTTGGCACTAGTGATCCTGATGAATTGTCAGGTTTTTGTGCTTTGGTTGCTTCATTTGTTATCAGAGGACTATAGATCAGCAAAATCTAGTCATCATTATACATTCCACTGAAAAACTGATTGACTAGAAGCTTTATTTGTGGATATCAGATTACTTAGTTACCTTAAATTTTATTGTACTGTATTGAAGATAACTTTGGTTATGGGCGTTGGCTGAGGCAGACTCATTTAATCTGGCGGTGGTATCATGTTGGCTTTATAGACAATGATTACATTCTTCATTCTTGGCTGGAATCATAAATCATATGTATACTGCAGTTCAGTTTCTGGAGCTGACCCACTTCAGTACTTCCTATTTATAATTTCCCATCAATATGGTGTGATGAATTATACCCTAAAAGTTAATTACACACTGTCCAAGAAATCCAGAAATACTTTATGAAGACTTGCAGGAAGAAAAGTATCAATCTGGCTTCATACCATTTTCCTGTTCAAAAAAATGCTGTATATTGATTTTTCCTTTAAAATGAAAATAGTGTAATAACCCACTCAGCAGGATTTACTGACCTGTTAATCATACTAGTTCATTGCTGGAGAGTGAGAAAGTTTAATGTTCCTGCTGTGGGCCTTCCTTCCTGCCGTATGGCGGATGAGTTTATGCTTTCAAGGATGATGATTATAGGTACTTCTATTCTTTCCTTCAGAATTATTGCATGTACTCATCTAGAAATAGGAGCTTTAAAAAATATCTGAGTTTTCCTCACTCTTGTTTCTGAAATACAGGAAACAAATTCAGTGATACCTGTATTGCTCTAGTTGCTCAAGTTCCATCATGGCTCAGCTGTAAACATTACTTGCTTCAAATGCTTTTTTCCCCCGTCCACAGCTTTCCTGTCCCTCTTCTTCGTTGTCCTTCCTCTAATCAATTGGAACAACGCAGAGTCTTAGTGAAACGTGACACAGCTCTTGCTGCGTTTACAGAAAGCAGGGAAAAAAGTAGAGGGAAAGTAGAGTGGAACAGGTAGTAAGAAAATTATCTTATCTCTGATCCAAACTGTTAGAGAAATTAAAACAAAAATTTGTGGGCTGCTTTTTTCTTCTCTGTTAATTTGGCAGTAGAGTTTTTTTTGCTTAAGCAAGTGGTTCCATAATGGGTTAGATCCTGCAAAGTTCACGCTGGTGAGTTACCCTTTTCCTGACTGTCGTTTATTCTCCTACCTTTGTGCTGGCTCAAGTATTTATATGTTGCCTTGATGAACAGGATTGGGGAACTGATCTGGCTGAGAAGTAAACCCCTTTTCTGTAGCTCCTAATCCTGTAGGTTCTTTTTCAGCTAGAGATCTAGTTTTGCCATGTGACTGCGCTAATGTGATTGCTGTCACGAAAGGAAGGGATGAAGGATCAGAAAAAGTGTTGGTAAGAGGAAGGTTAGGACCATGCTGTCAGTCAGTAGTGTGGATATATACAGATTAAACTGGTGATGGAATAGCAGTGTAGCATCTTGACTCCTTGAATTATAACCATGTGGAGGTCTATGATAGTAACTGTAAGTATTGGGTTATTTCTGCATCTATTTGTTGGAGAAAAACGTAACGCTCTTTTTAGTCTAGGAAAAAGAGGCATAAAAAGAATGAGTATCTGGAACCTGAAATAATCCATTACAACTGGAATATGAAGCAAATGTTTTAGCAGTGATGGTGATTAACCATTTGAGCAACCTGGCAAAGGAAGTAGTGGATTTTCAATTTTCTGCAGTTGCAGGTAGTCTATGGCCAAATGCAAATTGTTGGATTCTGTAGAGGTGTCAATTCAGTGAAGTTTAATGGTCTGTGATATTAGGGAAATTTAAATAATCAGTGACTTGAAACCTCTTTCACTTTGCAGACCCCTGTTTATTTCCCATGGAGATTAGGATCTCCATATAATGAGTTTGTCTACTGATAATAGGTTTGCTTTTATTTTAGTTAGTTTTGTAGGTGCTGTAGAAATTAGTCTGCTGATCCCTATGGTTTCATGGCCACGGCTTGGAAACCATTCAACTAAATGGTTTAAACAGCCTCTCCAGCATTTAAACTCTGTGAATCTACATTTTTTATGAGATATCCAGCAAGAGAGGCTGAGTTAGGAGATACAGTGAATGTCATGTTTACTTGTATGCTCCAAAGTGGGTTTTGGTCAATAGAGGCAAAAAAAATTACATGCTACTGCAGTGGTTAAGCATACTATTAGTTATTCACAAATCTAATTTTTCTATGTTAAGTGTTTATATACTTGCGCAGAAATAACAGAATGTTTATGATTTTATAGCACCTCTTATTTGGCACATAAGAGCTTTTGTCTATCATAATAAATTTAAATTCATAAAAATAACCTCTCTTATTTTGAGTTGTAAGTAACCATTTTTCTTCTAATCCCCTTAACCTGAAGTTCAGAGTAAATGGCTTTCCAAAGGCCACATTGAGTAGGTGGTTGAAATGCAGAGAGAACTGAGGAGTCTAATTTCCCTCTCAGTGCTGTATTTCAGAATGAAATGGGAAAACAGGCATGGCTCCAAAGAAAAAAATTATTTTAGTACTTATTTTTATAGGAAATTGTCCCAATTCTTGTTCATACAGCTGGATGGTTCCTGTTTACTGGTACTGAGAAAGCAGAGAAAAACAGCTCACATTTTCTTATTTTTCTTACAGGGTGAAAAGGTAAACTATGAGAAGTTCAGGGTTTGGCTACTGCACAACAAAGATGCTTTCACGTTTTCCCGTTGGCTGCTGTCTGGAGGTGTGTATGTGACACTCACTGATGATAGCGATACCCCTACCTTCTATCAAACCCTGGCTGGAGTCACACACTGTACGTAAACGATGCTTGTTCTTATGTGCATTTTTTTAAAACTGTTTCAGGGTTCACAGACACAAACTCTTGCCTTGCTGTAGTTGTTCATTAAATCTCACTACTCTGATGAGGTACATGCAGTTCTGTTCAGTGAGATAACTTTCTTTTCCGTGCTGATTTGTTCTCTGCTTTTTGTGCTGCGACATGTAAAACATTGTTATGTATAAGGACACAGTGGATCATTATTTTTAAGAGATAACAATACTGAGATTACAACACTTCTTATAGTAGAAGTTTGTTACTGAGCAAATTTAAAAAAATAAAAAGGAAGATATCTTCTCTTTGACAAATACATTTATCTGAAGTGACTTGACATTAATACTGGTTTTATATTTGGTCTTTCAGATATAGTGGATCATAAAACTATTGAGACAGTTCCGAAAATAATGCTCATTTCAAAAATAAGTATTACCTCTTAATTTGCTTTCTGCAGTGAAACAAGTAATATTCCTGGCATGTGATACAGTCAGGGAATTAAATTAACTAAAGAGAAGCCTCCTCAGGATTTGCATTTAGGAATAATCTCCAAACAACAAATGCTTCCTTATGTCTATATTAATGTAAACAAAGGAGCAGCTGTTTTTTAAATTAAATGTAAAAACAAAAGACTGATAAATTATACTTGATGTGCAAGTATAATGTAAGGATACATTACAGTAAAGCATCTAAGGGACTTTGGTATCCCTAGGAGAAGGGTGTTTGCTATTGAGATGTCAGTGATTTGAGGAATCTGGTTGTTTTATGTACTCTCGTAGATTTTCTTTGTTGGTGTGAGCATGGCATTTAATCTCTTTAATGTGTGGGTTTCTTGAATAAAGCTACATATATTTTTTCTTTTGGTTTTAAATATGAGCATTAAAACTCTGTTCTGACCATCTGAATGAAAATGCATAATAAAATTAGAAGCTTATAGACGGGTAATTTATTTGCATTACATGAGGGACTGCAGTAGACATTGAGGACACAGAAGACCACTAAATACTCTGAGGTCTAATAGACAAGGTAGAGAGAGAGGTATGTTAAAAAAAAACAACCAACAAACCCTCTTTGAATTTGCTAGACTTCAGCCCTGGAAAAAAATCTCCCAAGCTGTATCAAATTGAGATCTTCCATGCCTCCAACCTTGTCAAGTCTCCTTTGCCCGAAGTGTGGTTGAACCCCAGCTGGCAACCAAGCCCCACGCAGCCGCTCGCTCACTGCCCCCCCCCCC